ACAGGCAACATTAAACCTCACCTAGTATTTTCTGAGGTTGCCAGTTGAGAAACAGAACCTGATGAAAATTTAAGTTGTAGTCTGATTGTCTGGGGAGGTTTAGGGACATGAGACAGGGAGGAGTAGAAGTAGAAGTAAAATACCAGATTGAATTGATTGTTCTCACAAGCAGTATGAAACATTTGACCTGTATCCAAAATGGATTAAAAAAATATTACCACAAAATAAGAAGCGTAAATATGTTTAATGATTTTAATTAAAACCTGTAGCCTGTTTTTTGGCCTCTGCTCCCCTGAAAATGGCACACTCATGATAAAACGTGTAATTACTGTGGAACTACATTGTCTATCAGAACACTTCTTTTCTTCCAGAATAAAGGGGAACCCCTGTGAGTATTCTGATGTCTAAATATCATTTTATATGTTAGTGTTCAAGAAATAAATGAATATGGCACAAAAATGTAACTTTGAATTTTGAGCACCGCTTCAAAGGGGAAGACCAAAGACTAGGGACAGAGCTTATATCTCCCAGTCAAAGCTGGTAGATGTGGACACCGGATAAGCAGATAAAGATAAGATGAGACATTGACTTCAGTACATCTAACTACATACGTCATGAAAATCTAATACTTTTTATTCTATCAAGTAAGATGTTTTTAAAAGTAAACATTCATCCATTCTACCATTAAACAGATGCATTTGAAGTAATTTCATACAGTTAATGTTATGTTAATGTTTGATTTTGTGTCTGTATGTCGTCAAAAATGTACAATAGTTATTTTTCTCTTAATTGTCTCGCAACCTCCAAGGCATCTTGCACACATTTTCAAATTGAAATATAGAAGAAGGTCAACGGTGCAAGATGGGCTGAGAAAATTAAAAAAGCCACAGTGGACGTATTATATATTTCAGAATCATTAGCCACCTCTAACATGATGGATGCTTCGCTTTGAAATACTGCACAGTTTAGATGTTGTGTGCGATGGGGGCACATTTTCCTTCAACAGCTTACTGGTTTTAAGTGTGTAAAACGTGCAGAGAAAAAACCTGCTTCACTGGGCCTGAAGGAGCTGCTCACATAAAGCTGTCTTAGAGGAGTGCAAGTGAGTCGGTTGGGGCGGAAGAGAACAATCAGGAGGGACGGGGGTGACAGATGGAGGGAAAGAAAGAGAAGGACAGCATGATAGAAATATGGAAGAAACAGACTGAACTATAAGGAGAGAGAGACTATGCCGAAGAGACGTGGGGAAGCAGAAGGATGTGTGATAGATGAAGGGATGATAGGTGTAATGAAAGAGGGGAACTGGGGATGAAGGGAGGCAGATGGATCATCATGACATTACACTCGAGCGTGTGTGTGTGTGTGTGTGTGTGTGTGTGTGTGTGTGTGTGTGTGTGTGTGTGTGTGTGCGCGCGCACACTTTCCCTCCTACCTCCCAGCTATGCGTATCTGTGATTCCTTGTTTTAGAGATTGTGAGAATCACCACTCACACCAGCCCTTTTGTCTTTTTAAGCAGAATTAATTCATGTATTTGCTCACATGCAAACATAGCTTTAGATGCATATAAATGCGTACACGCACACATAAACACCACCCAGTAAGTATGCCTCCTAATGGTCTGTAGACCACTTAAAAATGCATAATAGTTTATAACTGAATTTTTTCTTCCATTTCCCTCAGTTCTTTGTTTTTCTTATTACTCCGTTTCTATCATCAATTTATAAGTAAGATATTGCACTTTAACAACCCTGTCGCAGTGCTTAACCGAAATGATTATTGTGACCAATACAACCACAGTGCAATACATGTAAATAGGTGAAAGTGGTATACAGATCGGCACGTTCACGTTAGCTAGAGCAGTGGTCCCCATCCACCGGGCCGCGGACTGGTACCGGGCGCACCACAGAAAGCTTATATATATTTTTTTTCTGAAAAATGTTTTATTTCGAAAATTGACCGGATTTTCTCCTAATTATGTGCGCTCGTCCCTCTGACATATTCCCCATGCGTCACCAGGCGTTTTTCTTGTCCGTTTACCATGCGCGGCAGTTTCACACACACAGAGCGCGCGACTACTTTCCCCCCCCGTCGGCCGTTCTGCCCGCAACGACTACTCTTCTTTTGTGGTCAACGGAGAAATGGGAAAAGCTACGACAAAACAATTCTCTGAGCAACACCGATCTCACGGTACTCCATGTCTTATGCCATAAGTCCCCTGGTAATAAACAGAAATGTAGCAAATATACTCCTCAACCCCAATCAAACACTTTCTTAACCTCCTGACACAAGCAACTAATAACCCTCGGGACAACTTCTGGTTATTTAGTAAGACAAAAGACTACAGTTCTCCAAAGCTGCACAAGGCAGTTTTTTTTTACCCCATTTGATACAGAACTAGTAAAACTGGTTTTGGACATTCTGACAGACTACAGAAGCATAAAAGCAGAATAACAGACAATAAAACCCGTTTTTTGGGAGAACATATTTTACTCAACTTTGCTTTCCACAGGCATATATTCTGCTGGATGACTTCACACCAGCTCTTCCCATCTCATAAAAGTGAGATATTGCTCTTCACTGACAAATGCAGGTTTTTTTTGCAAGACCTTTCTATTAGTAGTGACAGCATATAGGGACACCTTTCCAGACTAGCAAGGATCTCTGTTGTGGTGCCAAGGAGCCGACGGCCATGCAATGCTTGCATCACAACCACAGCTTATTTCTCCTGCCAGTCCAAGTCGGCATATTTCCCATTTCAACATGATCCGGTTTTAAATTTTCTCCCATGTCCCTTCCACCCTTCCATTACCTCCTAGAGGCGGCTCAAACTAAATTCAGAAACCTTGGTTCAACCGCCTGTATACCTTCATACAAGACATGTGCTTATTTCTTCCCTCCCAGCAGACACCAGACCTTAACTCCCCCCTCAGCGCGACTCCTCTCCCTCCTTCCAGGCATCTCGTGATGAAATGATATTCCCACCTCAGAGCTCAACTGCCTGTATGAAAAGCTCTTTTCTCCCAGGGACACTTCATAGCCCCCTCTGAGCATCCCTGCAAGTCTCTTAACCCTAATCATTCCCTTGTCATGTGCGAGAACAACAACTTTTTTTTATTGTGAAGCCACTGCTGTTATATGAAAATAAGTAGATAATTGAGGGGGACAAATACATTAAAACGGCTGTGGTGTTGATCTATTTGTAATGCTGTCAGTTGAAATTTGGTTTAGAAATTGGTCTCATTTGGATTAACATAATTATTTAAACAATGTGCTTAATGTTTTTTTCCCGTCTCTGAACCAGCCAAACAACCTGCGAACCCAACTCATCCTGTCCGAGCGTAAAGGCAAAAAGAGCTTGTGAATAACTGTCTAAACCTCATCCCACCTCCATTTTGATTGAAAGTGACGCTCACCGCTGACAGTAGCGACAAAGCAATTTCATCCAACTTCGTCTGAAGTGGTGTTTCCCACAGTGTCACAATTAACCAAAATTATTAACAGCAGTAGTTTGTTCGGTGACAGCTTCTCGAGAAGGGACCCTGAGAGAAACAACATTAGGATGCACAAAAGATGAATTACCCAATGATCGATACTGTACTTCACGTTTTAAGACAATACACTTGTAAGTGTGGCTGTAGAAAGGAAATTGATAAGAGCATGTGCTTTCATGACTTGGTGAGCTGTCTATTTATAGCAGTGGCGGGCCGTGCATCTTCTACCTGGGCTTTCTATGCATTTCAAGTTAGAAGCAAGAGGCAACCAAATGTGAGGATGAACCAGCAAAATTGTCTTTAGTAAACGTGAAAGGAAGGATTGACGAGAATGACAGAGTGGGAATGGATCAAGATAAAGATAAGAGAGAAAGAGAGCCGTGTGAAGTGAGGCGATGATGAAAGAGAAATTGGTGGAGGGATGAGTGGGAGGGGTGGCGGTGATGGGGGAGGGGACAGTTCCATGTCGGGCAAATAGGTGGCAGTACCTCTCTGTACAGGTCCATAGTGTGGTGGGGGTAGAGGGAGAGAGGGGGGAGGAGGCATAGACAGAGAGATACGCGGGGGGTGCTATCACAGTGTCGGCATGGGGAGCACAAATCACTGCTCATATGTTGCTATGTTGCTATACATGCTTATTTCTAAACATAACTACTGTTGTTCAGGGCGGGTGTTTGCACATGCTGGCATGTCGAAGGTATGTATGCGTTTGTGTGCGTGCATGTGTGTGTGTTTCAGTGGACGTTGTTGTCTGTGTATCATTGTTGTGTGTAGGTATGTGCGTGTGCACACATACTGGCAGGGGTTTAAGGAAATTTTTTTTTTTTTTTTTTCTTCGTCTGCCCTTGATACGCCCAGCTGAATGCAGAGAGCTTTTAAAAGGGTATTTCAGCGCTGAGCCAAAGCCCTCTTGGAGGCATTCACAGCATTGAAAGTCTCCCCGGCACTGAGCGAAGTAACAACCTGGTGCTTGTTCCGAAACTCGTACAAAGAAATCATTGGCTTACAAGGGGAAACCAAAACCCGGTTCCCGACAGGATATTTTATTTGTATTCGTTTGCAAACAGACGACGGAATTGACACACATACAAGTTATGCGTAAAGGCTACTCAAAGGTCTTCAGATTCATCTTCGGAGCAGAATATTATAGGTCGATAACATAATGAAAAGGGGTCGGGGGCTGGGTGCACAACCAAGTGCAGAGGGATCATGTTGGTTTTCCCCACAAGTCATCAGGACCTAATCTAGAGATTCCAAGCGCAGACATCTTCTATCAGCTGACATGACGTGCACCGTTATCATTGCAAGTGGGTGCAGACATTCTGCGATCATAGGAGTTCTGCTGACTATGACATGATATTATTGTAGTTTTTCCACTTTCACTGAATAGGTTTTTTTTCCTCCAGGGTCATTCAGTGTACCCGTCACGGGAGGCCTTACTCTGCTTGTCGAGCGGATTGTGTGATGTCTCCTACGGTTCCATATGGCTTCCTTAAGATCACTGCACCACTCTCCCATTGAACCCCTAAAACATTGTTGTGATGGATCTTTATTCGGTCTTCATTGCAGCAACCAAGGCCGAAGGGTTTTAAAGTTGGTTTGTTGAATGTTTTGCGACCCCATCATCATGAACATATTTGCCTTTTCATGAACCAAAACCACAGCCTTCCTGTGCCTTCACCAAACTGTAGTTGCCCTGTGTTTATTTGAAATGTAACCATTGGACATACGACAGGAGTTATGAATTTACAGCCATTGTAACGGCTCTGTGAGAATTTTGACTAATGCTTAAAGCTAAATTCTAATTGTATCATTGACAATGCTAATGCTAAGATGGTGTAATGATCATCTTCTACATTTATGTAAGCATTATAACATCTTCTAATGCCATTAGTTTTGAAAGTACGCTTAAAAATAAGTCAAGTGATCATCAAATGTATAACAATTTATCCGATGAACATGATTTACAGAGCAGAAATAGATAATGCAACAAAATGTTGGAATTACATTACTTAGAGCCACAAATGTTGAACGGATAGTGGCACTAGAGAATAAGCCACCAGGATTCATTTTCTGGGGATCATGAATGTTTGAACATCATGGCAGTGCATCCAATATTTGTTAAGATATTCCAGTCTGAATTAATACGATGGAATGACTGAGCCATGGATATTGCCCATAGCCACGCCACTAGGATAGTTTTCAACTCTCTGATATAAGGTATGGGAGGATTCACCGAAATTGCATTTTTCATCATAACTTCCTGTGAAAGGGTTAGTCTGATAAAAAGCCATTTTCCATCCAATCTAAATCCAATTTAATAATCTATCCAAATTGAGGATTTCCCAAGCATCATGATGTCCATCACTCAATAACACATGTAATCAAAGAAAATGGATGGTATCAGAACATTACAAACAGGTGACATCCTAAATAACAAACGATTCCTTCTATTATTTTGTCATGGAAAAGAGGACTGCGTTTTTACATAACAAACCCACTACGACAGAAAAAAGAAGTGCATGGAATTAAAATGAAACCTATCCAAAGAGATAATGGGCCTCTGGTTTCTTTTCATTTAAAAAATGTGGATGTAAGTCATATGGCTGCACACGTTGTCTTGTCATAATGCAGCAATGGTTTTCCTCTTTAAAGTGATACTTTATCAAAGTGCTCAAAGATACACACACAACCTACAAATAACTGGGAAAATATGGATACAATGTATACAAGCATACAGACAAAACATCATCAATGCTTGTTCCTTTGTGGGTTTGTGTGTATAATAACGGCCACCTGATCTTTGCCGTTACCATCTGCAAACCCACCTGCTCTTAGCTGTTATTTTCAATTATTTTCATCACTTCATCTGTTGCCGAGCTGAATTGAAATTAGTTTTTTTTTATTCGTCCCCCCGCAGGAACACACACATACACACAACCGCAGTAGATATCAGATGGTTTGGCTGAGGGAGCGACAACACAGATGTCAGGACAGCTGATCCTATTCAACTTGACCGTCGGCACTCTGTGTTTGTGTTTGAATAGAAGAAAACAGTCGGTGTTAAGAGCTAATCACATGTTTGGGATTTTGCCACTTTGTATGTACTGTAAATGTCTGCATTGTTGGAAGTGATAAACTGATATAGGTGATAAAACATTTTAAAAAGACATGGATATATGGCTACGTTTCTACAATTTCTCTGTCAATACAATAGCTTACTTCAGTTGACAGATCTGGACTTCACACACCTTGAGTCACCTTGAGGTAAATGCTGTGCCTGGAAGTATACCTGTATATCATCTTAATTCCAGTCAGTAAAAGCCTGGCTAAGGAGAAGCAGTATAGGAGTCAGAGATGCAACTATAATTTGCAAAGGCCAAACACTGATTACTTTCAGCTGATCAGACATACAGAACTCTTGTATATGTTGTCTGCTTTGACAGTTGATTGAATGTACAGTACACACAATGATTATGCAAAGCATTTATATCTGTGCAACCTCGACCTTACCAAGTCCTTTTCACTATGCTTTCATCCCTCTCCACAGGTTCCCTGAGCCTGGAAGGATCCACTCGTCAAGCAATGTCTTCCCGCACCTTGTCTTATTGTGTATGGTGGAGCATCCGGCCAGGCTCTTTGTGTCACATGGTTACCCGTTTGAGTCTTCATAAGTTGCAAATGACAGCATTGTGAACAAGATATAAGACCCACGTCCAGACCAGACCATTCCAAAGGCAGCGGGCATCTGTCTGTTGGGTATTATTATTCCAAAAAGCCCCAGCCTGTAAACTTAAAAAGCCCCATAGAATGTGTTCCAATACATTGCCTATTGGGAAGGTCCATTTCAACAAGTTTGACAGAATCGGCCACGTAGGTTACTAAGTAAGCTCCCACTCACAATATACCAACCTCAATGGAGCTTAAGCAGTAGTTCTAGAAGGAAGACTCCCTTTATGCCACACGTAATGTAGATATGCTTCAGCTGATCTCTCAGAATTATCCAATCAGCGGAGATTGGCTGCGCTGTGGCTCTAAACCAATCACACAGTTGCTGTCAAACCTTATTTAAGGGGTTCTCTCTGTGTTGCTGTCAGGTGCAAGTGATCGGTTGACGATTTAGCCCTCAGCTGCGCGTCCTTGCGCAACTGTGCATGGGACCGGTTGACGGTCAAAACAATTTAGTTTTGGGGGTTATTTGTGGCCAGGGTTTTGCTAAGATCCTGTCAAGCATAACTCTGCATCACGGCCCCTTGATTATCCCGGTTTAGGATGGAGTCCAATCGCCAAAGATTCTGCACATTTCAATATTATACATGTGTAATGTTTGTCAATTCAGACCGAGTCTGTCCTGATTGAAATGCCGTGATGCTCAAGTGACCACTTTCATCTGCTGATTTCTCATGTTGAGGCTAAAAAGGTCCACCGAATAAGGCACAGGGAAAACACAAATTTCAGTTGATTTTGACACAGCTTTTACATTTCTGCTACTTGTACCAGTTTTTACAGAGAAAAAGCTGCCCCTTCTCCAATGCAAAGTAGGCTCTGAACTCAAATACTCAAGTTCAAATTACTATCTTCAATAAAATGATTAGTCTACAATTTTATAAACAGACATTTGCCTTGCGGAAATCCCTTTTAGTGGTGTGTGTGCAGCTACCTGAGCTACAAACAAGATGTGCCAAGCAGAAATTTCGTTAAAATGTTTTGGGCAGGAGCCCTTTCACTCTTCCTCTCTGCAGGGCCAACAAACCTTTTGGGCCCAGTGCTTAACATTACATAGGCCCCATGGTAACTGAACACTGACTAAATTTGGTGCAAATGAAATGCTCAGAACGTTAAGAGGCCAGAAGAGTTGCATATTATTCCCCCTTGATGACAAAATTTAGTTAATTTCAACACATCCGAGTGTGTAACTTGAGAAGAAAGTGCCACACTAACTGTATACACACAGTGCATCCGGAAAGTATTTACAGCGCTTCACTTTTTTCGAGATTGTTATGTTACAGCCTTATTCCAAAATGGATTAAATTAATTATTTTCCTCAACATTCTACACACAACAACAATAATGACAAAGTGAAAAATGTTTTTTGCAAATCTGTTAAAAATAAACAACAAAAACATAACATGTACATAAGTATTCACAGCCTTTGCTCAATACTTTGTTGAAGCACCTTTGGCAGCAATTACAGACTCAAGTCTTCTTGGGTACGATTCCACAAGCGTGGCACACCTATTTCTGGGCAGTTTCTCCCATTCTTCTTTGCAGAACCTCTCAAGTTCCATCATCAGGTTGGATGGGAGCGTCGGTGCACAGCCATTTTCAGATCTCTCCAGAGATGTTCAATCGGGTTCAAGTCAGGGCTCTGGCTGGGCCACTCAAGGACATTCACAGAGTTGTGCCAAAGCCACTCCTTTGTTATCTTGGCTGTGTGCTTGGGGTCGTTGTCCTGTTGGAAGATGAACCGTCGCCCCAGTCTGAAGTCCAGAGCATTTTGGAGCATGTTTTCATCGAGGAGGTCTCTGTACATTGCTACATTCATCTTTCCCTCAATTCTGACTAGTCTCCCAGTTCCTCCCGCTGAAAAACATCCCCACAGCATGATGCTGCCACCATGCTTCACTGTAGGGATGGTATTGGCCAGGTGATGAGCAGTGCCTGGTTTCCTCCAGACATGACGCTTGGCATTCAGGCCAAAGAGTTCAATCTTTGTTTCATCAGACCAGAGAATTTTGTTTCTCATGGTCTGAGAGTCCTTCAGGCGGGCTGTCATGTGCTTTTTAGTGGCTTCCATCTGGCCACTCTACCTAACAGGCCTGATTTGTGGAGTGCTGCAGAGATGGTTGTCCTTCTGGAAGGTCCTCCTCTCTTCATAGAACAGCGCTGGAGCTCTGTCAGAGTGACCGTCGGGTTCCTGGTCACCTCCCTGACTAAGGCCGTTCTCCCCCGGTCGCTCAGTCTGGCTGGGCGGCCAACTCTAGGAAGAGTCCTGGTGGTTCCAAACTTCTTCCATTTCCGGATGATGGAGGCCACTGTGCTCATTGGGACTTTCAATGCTGCAGAAATCTTTCTGCACCCTTCGCCAGATCTGTGCCTGGATACAATTCTGTCTCGGAGGTCTACAGATAATTCCTTGGACTTCAGGTCTTGGTTTATGCTCTTGATATACACCGTCAACTGTGATACCTTATATCAGGGGTCACCAAACTTTTTTCTCTGGGGGTCACATTATCGTTCCTGACTGTAATGGGGGGCCGGGGCCGGGTCAGCTATATAACATAGAATTGTATGACTCAGATCAAAATGACCACCAGCAGCTCTTAATTAAGGTCAAATAAATAGGCCTATAAAATAAAATTTAAAAAACATTGAAATTATAATAACATTAGTAATAGAACTGTCACGGATGCGTGGGAATGCAGGACTCAAACGCAGAGTTTGCAGGCAACAAAAAGGACTTCAATATTCAAAAACTCCAAAAAAGTAACAGGCCAACGGGCAAAAACACACACAAGTACCGGGGGGAAAAAAGGCAGGCAGGAACGAGGAACATCCAGATGGTAGACAGGGACGAGGAACATCCAGGATGACAAACAATGACGCGACAAGTGACAGGAGACACGCGGCTTAAATACACTAGGGAGGTGCAGGTGATTGGACACAGGTGGGAACAATCAGACAATCACAGACAATGACAGGACAAGGCAGGAAGTGAAGTTACCCAGGGAGACAAGAAGCAGAAAACTACAAAATAAGACAGGAAATAAAACCACACCGTGACAAGAACAACAGCTCTTACACACAGTGAAGTCCTGTGCAGAATTTTTTTTTTTTTTTTTTTTTTAAACAATTCACCAACACCGCGAAACATTTCGGCACAGAGGGAAAAAAAGTCTGCGAGAGACAGAACAATTACATTATGGAAGTAACTTGCCAACACTGTCAGCACCGACTTCGCCTCAGGCAACATCGCAACAAGTGAGGGAATCGGAAGTGAACTGAACGTTATGCCAAGACGACTTTTGGGGATTGCCTCATTGGGCCGGTTCAAGTAGAGGGGGCAGAGGGGCTGGGGGGCCAGTCAAAGGTGGGTGGCGGGCCTGAGTTGTTGGGCCTTAGTTTGGTGACCAATGCCTTATATAGACAGTAGGGGTGTAACGATTCATTTTAACGATTTGATTCGATTCATGGTTGCTGATTCGATTCATGGACAATCTGGGTTAATTTAGAACGATTATATTCTATTCTATTCGCTTCTACATATTCTACAAACAGCGACAGACTTATTTAGAGCACCTCCGTGTTTGCAAAAGCCAAAATGTTTCGACGCGCTGATTGATAAGTTAGTTTGTAATAAATGTCTTGCTCGCAGTCGCCGCCTCCTCCACGCTGTGTGGTGGTGTTGTTGTTCCGAGTTTCGCGCTGCGTACTGATGACGTCACAGACAGGCAGACTGAATCGAGTAACGTTTAACGTGTCTAAAGTGCTAAAAACAAACAAACACACATCCACACCGTTTTTGTACTTAAATCCAATGTGCAGTTTCCAAGTATCGATACAATCGATTATGTACCATTTCAATCGATGTATGTATATATATATGTTACGATATATGTTGTTCGGAATGCCAATTTGCCAAGCACAGATCAAGTCAGTTGGATTGCAGGAATATAAATCGACTAATCGATTGAATGAATCGTTACACCCCTAATAGACAGGTGTGTGCCTTTCTCAATCATGTCCGATCAACTGAATTTAGCACAGGTGGACTCCAATCAAGTTGTAGAAACATCTCAAGGATGATCAGTGGAAACAGGATGAACCTGAGCTAAGTTTTGAGTGACATGGCAAAGGCTGTGAATACTTATGTTTTCGTTGTTTATTTTTAACAGATTTGCAAAGAACAGTTTTCACTTTGTCATTATGGGTTGTGTGTAGAATGTTGAGGAAAATGATGAATTTAATCCATTTTGGAATAAAGCTGTAACATAACAAAATGTGGAAAAAGTGAAGCGCTGTGAATACTTTCCGGATGCACTGTACTTTCTTAAATCTGCTTGGGTTCTCAGGCACATGTTTATGTATGTGTAGTGTGTAGTGTGTGTGTGTGTGAGCAGGAATGTCCTAGTGTCCTTGATACGATTGGATAGAGATTAGCGTGATCTGGCCACAGATGATAGGCTGTGATGACATTATACCCAGAGCGCGTGTGTATATGTGATGAGGTGTCTTGGAGGACAATTACAGATAAAAAAAAAAAAGAAAAGATAGAAAAAGAGAAGGTCTCACGCTCATAGCTGTAGAGGTGTGTGTGTGTGGAAGTGAGATGCAATTACCTGCAGTAAATTCAAAAGAGGACTGGCTTAGTCTGCATGCCTATAAACACCTATTGAATGGCTTCGCAAAGTAAAGGTTACAGTAGGCTCGTTATAATTTAAGATACCTTAACTTAATCCAATTGCTTCTAGATGCTGATTATTGTCTGAAGAATGCAAACAGCTGCCGCTAGCAAGATCTTTCTGGTTAATTAAAATACCATTTTTAATTTCACCTGAAACTCCTCCAATTATATACACAAGTACCAGGTTTTAAAAAACATACCATGTCATATGGCCCTGTGCCCTTCTGATTTATATTTCCATTGTGGGAAGTATTGAGGCACACTCATTTTAGGAATGGCTGTACAAGAACACCTCGTATAGCTACATAGCATGTATTTTTCATCTCAATTAGAAATTGTTTTTCTCAAGAGTGTCAAGCTTTATTGATGATATATTTTTTACTTTGAAATGAATATACATAATTGATTATTCTGAGCACTAATACAGGTTAAAGTTTAAACTGATTTGTATAAAACGAATCGGAAAATTTCATTTTGCACTTTCAATGTGATGCAGTAATGCATTTTAAATGTATTTTCCTACTAGCTGCCAATTATATTTTTGATAAGAAGCCTATCC